AATTAATCTTTCGCCCTACCATTTTTTCAGAACTATTCTCACAGAAACTCTTCCACACAGATCGTTACCAATCTGTCACAAGAAAACTGAATACTATTTCCATTGCAAATTAATTGATACACTTAAAACACTATTTGTTTCCATCGAAATAGAAAAATACGAATACTATTTATAAAATATTAAATTCAGTTTATAATATTCACCATCAAAGTCTCCCAATGTCTATTCTTAACACTAACCGCACCGAGAGCCAATCGAATGATCGGATTTAAAATTCTACGTTTCCTTTCGTTCATTCAACTTTATATCAATTCCAATATTATCCGATTAACTATTTTTTCAATTTTTTTCTGTTCGTTTGTTTCTGTATCCACTAAAAAAAATGTATCATCCAACTTGTTTGCCTTTATTTTGTAGCCAGTTATTTGACTGATCACGGTAGTAAAAGTGCTGGTATGGTAGTGTTAAAATTACGTTAAAAGAGTGTGTAGAAAAAGAAAGAAACGAGCGAAATAATGGAGAACAATTAATAATAATAAATCGTATTTCTGGTCCACGGCATCGATGACGATTAAAAACGTGGCACTAGGTTCCAAGCCGTTCCAGGGACCGATGGCAACCCCCGAGCAATACGGCAGTCGTTCACTGGGAGAGGGGTGGCCGCGGGGGTTTCGAGGGCTCTGCGAGCCGCTTTCGATTCATTGTACAATAATATGACGGAAATGTCAGTCAATTAATAAGCATACCAAACCTGACTAATTTCCGCCTTTGTTCGGGCTCCACGGCCGGGATGGATGAATAAGTGGCCATTATGCGGCTTTTATGATTGGTCAGATCCGTATCACGACAGCCGGTTCCGCTTTTAGAAACCCCCGCGCGCCGGCACGTCGAAACTTCTCTTGCGGCGAACCTTTTTAACCGCGTGCACGTGCCGGCGGAATATCGTTCTCGTTTTCGTCCTCCTCCGGCCTCTCCGTCCTCCGTTCCTCTCCTTTTTTTCTCATTACGCCCTCTCCTTCCTTTCTTCTTCTTCTTCTTCGTCTTCTTCGCCATACTTTTCTTGCGGGACCAGACTTCGTATCCTAGGCGTTTTGTTCCTCGTCGCGTGACTTCCTTTCGTGGAACGCAGGAAGCCGTAAGTGCTGCTTCGAACTCGCGATTTTTTGCCTCGTGATTGATGGAGGCTCGTGATATTTAATTGTAATCTCCGATGGGGAATCCGGTCGAGAGAATGTTGCTGTAGGATTATTGTATAATTTGAAGAACAGTGATGTGAGAGTAAGTTGACTGTTGGTTGTGCTGTGAAAAAATTGTGAAATTCATAGTAATCAATTGTTCGGAACTTTGCGAAGTAAGTTGGTAATAAGTACTTCGTCAATACTGTTTTTATCGTGACTTCAGTCTTAAAAATTCATTCTTGCAAATTATGACTAAATTATAAAGAACAAGGCTATCAATCTTAACAGGAAAATTTTCGTTGATCATAAACATTCATCTCCGTATTACTATTTCCACAAAACTGAACCATTCATTCCATTTCAACGAAATCTTAAAACACAGTATATACTTATTCAAACCATCATTCCTTCTGCATCCAAATCATTCACTCTTTTCCTCCCAATAACACCCCTAGAAGGTGTCATAGAGTCTAAAAAATAACGCCATCCAGCAAACATCAAACAACATCAAGGAAGAAGGAAATAAAAGGAAAACGAAGCTCGATCGACCGAAGAGATTAATCCAGCAGACAGCGCGAAGTGTCTCCAGTCTGGCTGGCCTCATCCCAGGAACCCTTTCCTATCCCGCCACCCCCGATGTGGATAGCAGCCGTGAAAGGGTTGCGAGATATGGCGGCTGCTCGATTCTTGGAGGGCTGAGGCAATTACACGGATTCGTTAATGACGATGACGTTGGCTGTCGGCTATAGGGGGTGGCGGGTGGGATCCGCTGACGCGGGGCTATCTTTCGTCTCCACTTATCCGCGGCGTCGTAAGGGGTCGCGACATAAAGGAGGGGCGTGGCGGCGGCAGTAGCAGCAGCAGCGTCGGCGGCGGTGGGGTGTGCAGCTGCGCCACGTATCAGCCACCTATATCCTTGGTCCGGCTCACCCCACGGCTTATATTGCCGGCGGGGGATAATACCACGGGGGTGCCGGAACGGTTTCATTACACGGCTTCCCGAGGGATAATATCCTCGGATATCTCGCCGGCCGTCCCCACGGGCCTGGAATTCCGTGCCACCGTGCTTCCTCCGCGTCACAGACGAGAACCCTCGCCGTTACCGGCACCCCATCTTTCACGAGCCCTCTCGCAACCCCTTGCCCGAAACGATGGTGGATGCGGATGGCGCGACGGGCTCCCTGCGATCGAACGGATCGGAAAATGGCCGGCCCTGTGCGTCCAGTCGATCAGCCTCGAGTTTCTCTGTTGTGTCTTCATGATCAGTCTTAAATGGAATTTTCAGGAAGTTAATGAAACTGATCTTTTTTTCTGGAGAAGTTGGTGTAGACGGTGGGGTGATGTTATTTGGTAGATAAAATAACTTCGCGTTAATGGTTTCCTAAGTGAAACGGAATGCAAGATTTTGTGGTTATTGCATTTATTGTTAGACTGCGAAGGCGGTATTTGAAATTATTCTTAATTGATGATAGGAATGTCTGCGTTAACATTTCGTGACATGCAGAGTGCATTGCTCTACTTTTATCACCCACAAGATACTCAAGCACAAAATTTCTCTATTTCTCGCTATAACCTGAATCTCCCTAACTTCCCTACGACCCAAACGAATTATAATACTTTATCCCAGGTTCATCGCGCATCCTTTTTACCAAACACCGTACCTCGATCTTCCAGTATCCATCGGAATCAACGAAACAATCCATCAATAAGCCACTCGGATGCTTCTTCATCCGTTACCCCGCAACCCTTTCGTCCCCAATCTCTTCCTCCCTCGAGCAAGCTGTAATTCCTTCT